ATGAGATTAAATTAAGAATGATTCCATCAGATAGCTAAATTATTGATTAGATAATAAAGATTAGACAGTATTATAAGTTTCACCTCTTAACTTTCAAAGTTCATTTATAATTACCTTTTGATATGTTACTTATAAGCAGTATAAAATTGCATTTCTCCCTACACATTTGAATCTATTTTCATTAACAGGTGAGTTTAATTCATTTACATTATTATGATTCCTCGTATTTAGATTTATTTCTATCATTGTTTTTATTGTTTTCATGTACCATTTTTTTTCTTTCTTTTTTGTTCCTTTCTGCCTTCTCTAGGAATGTGTTCTTTTCTCTTAAAAGTCTTTTTTTTTTTTCTTCCCTTTAAAAGTCTTATTTTGAATTTATGCATTAAACTTTTATAGTGTAACTAACTTTAACATTTTAAACTGGAACACTGAAACAGTAAATTCCAATGCAAAGAATAACCTATTCTTTTTCTGACCAATATATTGAAATCAGAAACTTTTAACTTGGATTACTCCCTATAAATTGTATGGTAATATTGTTTGCAATTTAGTTCCATCTTATTTTCACCTGTTCCTTAGTTAGTCTGCATTTTGATTTGAAACAGTCAATTCTTATGTTACAATTTTAGTAGTTTATTCAATAAATGCTTGTGAGTAGTACATGCTCTTTGTCTCATCTGAATATTTTAAAAATATTCTTTTTTAAGTAATAAATGTTGGATTTTTTTTTTTTCATTATACCCTACCTGTATTTTAACCTCTCTTTTTCCTAATGACTTACTTTCACTTGCTTTCCCACATTCTAGGAAATTTCATGAGTTCTATATTCCAGTCTACTGATTTTCTCTTCTGCTTTATCTAAAGTTGTATTTGATCTGATGTTCAGTCTTCCATTGAGTTTTATATTTCAATGATCAGGTTTTGCATTTCTAGACCTTCTATTTGATTTTTACCTAAATCTGGGTGTGCCTTTTACAATATTCCATTCCTTAATTTTTGCTTATACTCCTTTAAACTATAACTTGTCATTTTACTTATGTTTATATTATAGGTTAATTTAGGCTGTTCTATGTTTGCTCATGTGTGTGAACAAATCTGTCTTGGAAGAAGTATAGTCAGAATGATCCTTAGCAGCGAGAATGATCAGACTTCATCTCTCATACTTTGGTAGTGTTGTCGGGGGACCAGTCTCTGCATAAGGATATCATGCTTAGTAAAGTAGAGGATCAGTGAAAAAGGGGAAGATCCTCAATGAGATGGATCGACACAGTGGCTGCAATGATGGGCTCAAATGGAGCAAGAATTGTGAGGATGGTGCAGAACTATGCATTGTTTCATTCTGTTGTGCGTGGGGTTTGCCATGAATTGGAGACAACTCAATAGCACCTAACAACAATAGCAACAACATATTATATGAGTGCTAATTCACCTGTTTACTATGTTTGCTTACTCTTCCTTAGTGTGGCTGATTCTGTTGGGTGATTTGCAGTTTTGTATTATAAGCTCATTTTTGTAGAGTGGGCTATTTTGTACATTGATCCTAGACCAACGTATTTGAGTTGTGGCAACAACCCTAGAGAGTTGCTGGTGGTTTGCTTCTGCTGGATCCATAAGTTATACCAATTATGTTAATTGCACATCTTTTGTTTATTGCTTTATGCTGCATATCTTAGACTTCATACTAGAACTTGGTATAAAATTGTACTTTTATATTTGCTTTATTTAAATTAAATTTTCATTTCTTCATCATGAATACTCCTGTGGGGGAAAATGTTCTAGTTATTTTTCATAATGAGGGCAGCCTTTTTTGAATCTCAGCTTTATTCTGGGTTTTTGTTTTCAACTCTCAGAATCAGGCATTCATAAAGCCAGAGTTCTGCCTCTGTGGCCATACTATGGCCCTAACACCCAAACACCAAGTCCCTAGGATCTACATCCATGTCTAGTGTCCTTTGTTACTCTGATGTCCAATCATAAATGTACCTCTCCTGGTTTGAATTTCTAATTCATTTCTCTGGAACTTAGGGATTTCTCTCTCTGTCTCTCTCTTTCTCTCTCTCTCTCTCTCTCTCTTTCTATGTATCTTATATAGAGATATACACCCATATACATACATATTTTAAGTTTGTAATTCATATTGTTTTATTTACTGTGTCTACATGAGTTGAAGTGTTTATACTGAGGAAGAGGATGAATAAGGAAGAAATAATGTGTTTAAATATGTTTTTATTTGAACTAGTGCATGAATAAAGATCAACAGTAACCTTTTTTATATATTTCACATTGTATTTCTCTTAAGGATAAATTCAGCTTTTAAAACATTCCACACTGCACTATCTAGGAAACTGAATCTTACTCACATCTGATCTGAATTTTCCTTCCCTAACATACACATTTGTAGCAGAATTATTGTATTCTACTTGAGTAGATTCAGAGATTGTATCATATACCTGGTTCAATAAGAACTTTTTGGAAGTAAATCACCCAGTCTTGCTTCCTCAGAGCTGCTGGTGAGTTTGAACTGCTGACCTTCTGGTTAGCAGTCAAGTTCCTTATCCACTACACCACCAGAGCTCCATCAATAAGAACTAAGCTAGCTTTAGTATGAGATAATATTGACTATTCCCAAATTGTCCTATTTGTTAGCATATCCAAGACAATAATCTCCCCAAAATAATTCTTAAATGACAATTCCTAATTTTCCTTTCCAACTTTTTGGCTGTCTTTTCTAGTCCTTTTTTTTTTTCCTACAGACTTTGTACTTCTTGCAAGCAAGAGCTAAGAGAAAGATTATTTATTTGCAAGAATTTGGCAGCAACACTGCCAGAAATACCAAGCTTACTGGTGAACAGAACTATGGCTTTAATGTAAAACACTATAATTATACATTATAGTAATATCTCCACAGTTTTTACCACTGAGGAAATCAATAATAGTGTAGACTATTTTTCTTTGTTGGACTAGAGGAAAACAGATGAAAGAGTTTATTGATTTAGTAGGGACTGCTACTATAGCATATCAAAGTCATTTTTAACTGAATGATTTTAACTTGAACACCAAAGTGTTCAGACTAACAAGAGACTTGATAAAAAAAGAACCAAATGCAAATGAACAAAAAAATCCTCCTATACTTTCATGTCACTGACCTATTTACAGATACATATCAGGCCAACAATACTGGCAAATATCTAATCAAAAGGAAAGCATTCTATTAATGGTGCAATAAATGATCAAGACGCCAAAGTGATGCTATTTCATGAAAGTACTAATCTGAGTATTTCATATTTGCAATTGACAAATATAATTTCATATAGTTAATAAAAGTTCCAGGGTTATATCATGCAGTATTATATTACTTGTTAAATAGGTCATTTTGGGGATTTTTAAATATGGACCATAGAGGTAGAGGTATGAAATCTTACATCACCCAAAGCTGAAATATACTGAGAGAAGAAGAAAGAGAGAGAGGGAAAGAACCTACAAATGTTACTACTCTTCAATATATGGATTAATTTATTCAACAGTATAAAAGGAATAAAAAATGATACAAACATTTAAAAAAAAATCACTTGTGTGTGATATGTTGTTATTTTAGCCCTGAACTCAAACTCATGCTTACAGGAACAAACCCTGTATCCTTTGATGGATGCTTAGTAAAACAGATGTATTGTTTTCATTCTTGTATTTCTGGTACAAACTTACTGAGATGCATAGTAGCAACCCCCAAATCACAACCAGGAGCTGTGCTCTGTACTCAGCAGTAACCTATCCTCAGACAGTGCAATATACCACAGATATCAAAATAAGAGGCCTATTGGACTTTTATTCTGTGTTAACAGCAAAGTTACTTCCTTTCATTTTAAGTGAGGTTTTTTTTTTAAAGGTCTCTGTAGATATAGACTCTGAATGCTAAACAGAATTCTATATATGTGGTGAAAATAAAATGATATTTTATTCTTAAGTGTTCCTCATACAAATACTTCTAAACAAATATATTTGGTAGTTCTTCAAGTAATCCGTACTGTGATGAGAAATGTCAACATTTGGAGACTTCTCTTCAGATTCAAAAGAGCACATTGTTTGATCCAGTCGTCTGGGTAGGTGTGATTTCAGAATAATTCTCAGTACCTTAATTCATAGTCATTTAATAAACTCAACAAAATCCCATTGTCACAGAGTTGATTTTGATTGATAGTGACCTGTAGGACAGAATAGAACTGCCCTGTAAAGTTTCCAACACTGTAAAACTTTATAGAAGCAGCCTGCCTCATTTTTCTCCCATAGAGTGGCTGGTGGGTTTGAACCACTGACCTTGTGGTTAGCAGCTCGATGGTCATTAATAGGGATGGTAAACTGTGTAAATCTAAGGGCTCTTCAATGAAGAGGTAAGAGTGAGCATGGAAGTCAAACTACTATTTCATTTATAAAATGAGAAACAAAGCCTTGAATACAGAGAATATTCAGTTTATAGCACCCACTACATTCCTGAAACAATCTTTGTACTTCTAAAAAAAAATAAAAAAGTATCTTATTTACATTATTTTGTTTAAATAAGCTAACTCATATCCACATTGTAATTTTAAATATTTACTATAAATTGGTAACTCTACTCACAGAAATGCTTACTCTTTGGAGGTCATATTTTGATTCTTTGAGTTTAGGTGTATACTTTTGTGTACTTTAATAAAACAGCAATGATGCCCTGGCCGGGAAAGAATGACATCCTTCCCATGGAAATGACTAAGTCACTTCTTGCTCATGGGAAAGCACTACTATGTGTGACATTTGTTAACAAGATAAAGTTATTATTCACTTTGGCTTCTGGAAGACAAGCTTTTTCCAACACATAGAGAGAGAGCTAGGATGTGTCCATATTACTTCATTTTGTTGTTGTTGTTGTTGTTCAAAGAGTTCTTAATTTTGAATATTTCTTTCAAAGAAATACAAAAGGTTAAATCTATGGCCTCCCTGGTTTCTGTTGGTTGCTCAAATCAACTTACTCTGCATGCAAAGCCCATCAGTGCAGTTCTTGGATTGCAATACGAGGCCGTCACAGTCCTTGCCTCCATTCTTGGGAGCTGGTGCTGTGCACTCCCTCCTGCGCCAGTGTGTGCACTCGGTGCCACAAGTTGACCACTTGCTCCATGAGGTCCACCTGCCATCCACTGCCACCAAAAAATCCAGCATCAGTCAGAGGGAGAAACAGCTTCTTCAGGGGATAAGAGGGAAGATCTCAAGTATAAACAAAACAAAAAACTCAAGGAAATGCTCCACCAAGGGCGCAGCATTCATTTCATGTGCTGGGAATTCAAGTGTCCTCTACTTTGTTTGGGTTCTGTGAACTCCCCTGACAAGGTGCATGACTGTTTCCTTACTAACCAAGCCAAGAGTAGCTTTATAAGACACACAGAAACCTCAGTGGCCACCAGAACTAAGGTCATGCCCCTAGTAAAATGAAGTCTATTTTTCTCTGTCTATTAAAGAGGAATTTTCTATGCTTTTACGTTGAAAATTAGGGGGCCTTTCTTTGATCCAAGATTCTTTCATGCACAGTATCAGTGGGAAGTGAAAGTAAAGTTGTATGGGGGAAAAGGTTGAGACAGTAGTGAAGAAATCTATCTGATTGTCTACCCATCTATCATCTGTCTTTCTCTCTCTCTGCCTTTCTATCACTTATGTCTTTTATAATCCTCTTACTATTTTTTTTCATCCAAGCTGCTGTACTCTGTTGAATCCTTCTGCAATCCCCTTTTGAAAAGATTAAATTATTTTCTATTTATTACTTGATGATTCTTAGCATAAGAGCAATTAAGTATTTTTAAAGATAATATTAAGGTAGGTTCCTAATTTTTGCTATAAACATTGAAATCATATTTCTGATTCAATCATTTTCTTCTAATTCAATTGATTTATTTATTTTCAGTATTTGAATTTCATTGATGATGACCTTAGTTATCTCTATTTTAAAAACACAATTTAAATCCCAATTTGAAATATATATATATATATATATATAATTTAAATTATATATATATATATTATATATATACAATTTCACTAAGGTTATACAATGGGAGCTCTGGTAGCACAATGGCTAAGACACTTGCCTGCTAACCAGACGGCTGGTGGTTCAAACCCACCAGCCACTCCTCAGAAGGAAGGTTGGGCAATCCTACTTCCGTAGTGATACTGCCTCGGAAACCCAAGGAGGGGTCGCTATGAGTCGGGTTTGACTCGACGGCACATAACAACAACAACAACATACTTAAAAATATTTCCTTCTAAGTTTCCCACAAAAATAGGATAAAAAGGTTAAATAAGAGTTTTTTTTTAATTACCTGAAATAATTATAATTATCTAAAACTCAATGTAAAATAATGCCAAACATTTATTAAACATCTAAACCCCCTATACCTGCCATTGCTAGAAATATTAATTTTAATAGTCTACAGAGTTTGGGAAATCTGTGTGATTTCATATTAAAATTATTGTGTAAATATATTATGCAAAATGTGTATAAAGATATAAACATGTCCACATGAAAAAATGATGAAAGCATTAATATTTCCAAAGTACACACACACACACACACACACACACACACACTTCTACTTGACCTCAAAATGCCTAGTGCATTTTTAATTGTGGAAATCAACACCTAGATAATATGTAGGAGAGTACAAAATAAAATACTGAAATTCTACGCCCAGCTAAGTGTCAAAATTTGTTCCATAAATAAAATCTCTCAAATAACTCATCGTGGGAGTGAGACTATTTTGATACTTATAAATCAATATTTGTGAGTATAAATGCAGATTATATTTTTCTCTCTACTTCATTTCTTTAACGCATCTCGAAGAAAGCTTCTATTAAAGGATGAATAGGATAAAAGTCAAAATAAAGAGAAATAAGTGTATCCAAACAATAAAACTGAAAATATAATGCCTACCCCAATGGAGTATACTATATTTGTGGCTTGTTTCAAAATAATTTTAACTTAGTTTTGGAATATATTGCATAATTAAGCATTTTGATGTTTTGAAAAATATTAGAAGTAACTTTAGTTTTTCTATGAATAAGAGCTGATGCAATATGAGATAGCATGGAAAGATACCAAAAAACAGAGAGATGCAATCTTGGAATATGTCTTCCCTACTAATAACCAACAAAGTAGATAACCAACATGTACAGATAATAAAGAGCTGACTGCATTGTATTTTCAAAATCCATTAACCCGTGTGTCAAAAAGCTTTCCCTTCCTCCCAAATCACTCTAAATGTTTTATTTGCACTTTTCTAGAAACTGACATGAAATATGAAATATTTTAGTCTAAAATATTTTAAATTTTAATTACTTTCCATGGTTTTCTGAAGATCAAGGATTAGTTTTTCCTGAAATGTGTGGCTTTCAAAGTTATAAAACTTGCAATTTTGGCTCTAGCAGTTTTGTGGAATAATATGGAGGAAATATGTTTGTAAGTGTTTGATTTCTTGCTTTATACTGTTTTGCATGTTTGGGTAACAAAGTTAGGTAGTCTTTTGAGGAGAACACATTTGATTTCCCAGCAATGAGAGCAATGAAAAGTAGGATGGATTGAAATGATGTTTATCACTCATTATGGTCAAGAATAAGGCTTTTTCATACATTCTCTGAAAAACATTTCTAGTATGGTGAGAGACATTTGAGATGAGAAGACTGTTGTTTTTACCTGGGCATAATGTGGTGCAAGCTATTTTCTGTACACTCTGCCCTTCACAGAAGGCACCACCATTGAGTGGTGCTGGGTTTGTACAGGTCCTTGTACGTTTCTGATACCCTCGTCCACAGCGGCTATTGCATACTGACCACTCTGTCCAGGTGGACCAGCCACCATTTACTGAAAGGAAGCAAACGATAAAAGTGGGTTAAACATGTGCACAGATACACAAGACAAACACACCACATATATAAAAAAGTCATCTCATTAAAAATTTTACATTTTCAAAGCTAGTTTCACCCACGCTTCTATTATATAGCTGAATAATCCAAGCACAGAGAAATAAAATTATTTATCAAGATTTACTCACCTACTCCAAAAAATAAATGGCAATGTGTTCTCTTTTCCTTGACCAGTATTCTTTTTCAGGAGATATATTGCCTTACCCTGATAAACTCCAGAAATTAGGTTTGATAGCTTATCTCAAGTGGTAAGTGTTTATATCCTTACATCAAGGCTACAAGTATATATGAAGAATGAAAACTGAATAAAATAATTTAGCACTTTTAAATAACAAGATGATTATTTATTTTTCTTTCATTACTTATAAACTTTACAACCTTCTAAGGATCACGGCAGTGTTAGGTGTCGGTTTTATAGGAGCTCTAGTAGCACAGTGGCTAAGGCACTTGAGTGCTAACCAGACGGCTGGCGGTTCAAACCCACCAGCCACTCCTCGGAAGGAAGGTTGGGCATTCCTACTTCCGTAGTGATACTGCCTCGGA